TGTACTTTTTGGTAAAAATTGTATCTTTCAAAATTATTTTGTAATCAAATAGCAAGATGTTGTTACAGAAAAATAAGTGTAAATTATTTTAATTCTACCTCATTTTAATACAGAAATATTAAATATAAAGCGTTTTGTGAAATATTAAATATAAAGCGTTTTTGTCAGAGTTAAATTGTAATTAAATGTTCACACGTGTGGTACAGCAAGTTAATATAACCTAACCTTTCTTATGATACGAGCCAATACACTCTATCTCTGCACACGTCCGATTTTAATCATTTTATTATAACAAATTACCATTGTTACTCAAAATAAGTATTGTATACTAACAAACACTTTTCTTTTAACTAATAATACATCATTTAGATTTGCTTTCGCAAACCGAAGAACATTAATACGAAATTATGAAGTGCTCAAATTTACTTGTCTACTCTTGAATCAACTTTTTCCTTTTTCTATTGTAGTACTTGTTTGGTTTAAATGGAACTTAAGAAGAATATCTATTATAAAAGAAATATTTTGCAGTAACTTTTCCATTGTTCTTTTATTATAAATGTAATGCCAATTTGCCTTTTATGCCAATGAGTCCCGGTCTGTCTACCAACACTTAATAGCCAGCTTATAACGCATTTTTATTTTCAAGAATTCCGAAACTGAGATACATTTTAGCATTTACACCATTCTCTCATTTTTCTTAAATATGAGCGTATTGTTACATGTATTTTTGAGTGTGTTGAATATGTTATTTGCTATTTAACATTTTATTTGACTGTGTATATTTTGAGTTATGCAAATTTAAACAATAACATGCATTTTGCTAATGTGATCCTTTATGGTATTGGTTATTCACGACCTCTATTTTGAAGTTTTCATATCAAGATAATTATTTGATAACCAATTGTAGCTCTACTATTAATCTATAGTTTACATTACGTGTTATGTATTACTATTTTTAGTTTACTGAGCAGCTTATATGCAGAAGTTATGTGAATGTATATACATTCATTTGCATACATTTTAAAATTTTATTTTATTTTTTTGTTAATTTTGTAATCAAATACTTTTTTCTAGACAAAACAAATATTTTAAGGTTATTTTATGGAAGGTCACATTACCACCTTTTTTTCTTCGAGTCATTATACAATGTCACCACATTTTTATTAATAGTATTCTAAGTAATAAATATTTCGTAATTTTGAATCCAGAATCGATTCAATAATATTTTAACAAATGTAATTATCAAATTTTAAACTTAAATATTGATTATTAACAAAATTATTGTGTAAAATGTAACTGGGATGTTATAATACCATCTTTTCCTCTCAAGATTTTAATTAATATCACTCTTTTTTATTGTAGATTTGCGATGGAATTGAATATTTTAAAAGTTCATAGAAAATAATTATTAAAAAAGAAAAAAATATGTTAAACAATTGTTAATTAAACATTAACAATATTACGGCGATAACCCGTAAACTCTTTGGCATCCCTGAAAAAAACACCTGTGAAAGTCTCAAAAGTATTATATTAAATTATAGTATGTTAAGTATCCACACAAAACAATATTTACCAACAATTTTCACATCTTTTGTCATTAAGATATAAAAATAGCCTAGATGACTATTCGCGATTAAATAATAAAAGTATAATATTGTATAATTCTATTAATATAATTGATTGGGATAAGAAATAATTGAAAATTTAAGAAAGTAAGCGCTCATCCGTTTGTATATTCGTGACAGATATCACCTATATAAACAACGTAGAATCAAGATTTCGAAATTGATAGAACGAACAACAAGCCTGCAATCTTTCTGCGGATTACGTCCCTAGCGCGCAATTTGAAACATCGACACACCCCATCCTTCCATTCTCGCGTCTATCACGCCCGACCTAGTCGACGGCAATAAATCTGAACTTACGGTGTATCCTTGGATGCAAATTTCCCTACAGCTATAGAAATATCGTAACACAATATCGCCATTTCCGCGTTACATTTTCTATTATATATACATATATATATAATATATTTCTATAAGAATGTAAATTATATTTTACAATCAATTTACTCATTATTTATAATGTAAACTAACTATTATTGATATGAAGAAATGAATAGTACAATATTACACAGGAAATCAATTTCAAAATTGATAGACTGATTGTGAGAGATAACTTATGCAGGGATTCATCACATCGGATACATGTCCGGCGTACAATTTGAATCATCGCTCTCTGCTCTCCAATCCGCCCACGCAAAACCTTTTCTATCCACACGTCCATCGTGTTCGACTGGCTCGATGGCAATAAATCCAGACTTACTCTTTATCCTATCGAGGCTTTGCCCGCCAGAGTGCGAGCCTCTGGCATTGTCGCGGCTATATCACCAGCCAAAACGGACGAGAGGGACGGCGTTGTCGTGCGACAAGACTCGACGGAACCTGAATTAAATTCTGAGATTTATCGCGTCAATAACCATGCATTAATTTATGATTTTTTGCGGTGAAGAACGTAAATCCACAGAACACGCCGCCATCGTGCCAATTGTTTCGCTCTACGTGGCGGCCCAACCAGAGAAATGGACATAAAAAGAAACGACAAAGAGGAAGAGAATAAGCGTTATACGAAACATACAAGCTCAAATCTATATCGATAGAACCAGCGCAAGGTATATGTGCGCGGTGCGATGTAAGCGATGTGAAGTGTGGGTAACAGCGTATGCGGGCGACTAGCAGCGTGTTCTACATCTAACTTATATTGACCACTCAACATTCCGAGCTCGTAAACTACGACGTTTGCCGACCGTTCGGTGCAAAAGCAATCGGAAACAGTATATCGCGGTTCCAAAAGGCCTTTGATGTCGCACGCGTATCACCATGAGAGAAAGCATTGTCAATTAAAATTATACACCCATATTTGTTACTTGGAACATAACACCACTAAAAGATTACAAGAGAGAGAGAGAGAGAGAGAGAGAAAGAGAGAAAAAAAGAGAAATACGCGAAATCGATTCACTAATTTACAATTTATTTCCAATAAAGATTAATCAACTGGGCTGACGGTTCGTCGTTCGAAATTCGCCTTTCAAATCTTTAATTCATTTCGTGATTTTCCTTGCTTCGGCAAAGGAACACATCGTCGGATTTGAATTTATTTAATTACTGCTGCGCTACTAGTAATGTTTCGCATTAGTCATTATAGATTAATTTATTCTCTGCCGTTACTCATTAGGAAGGGTGTACACATGGTACAAATTTTTTCTCACTCTTTTCGCTTCCGCCCAGATACGTCCTTTGATCGATTAATCGTTTTAATTACGGGCGAAACCGCGGCAGGTGTGCATTCAAATTGATGCACAGAGTGGAAGTACCGACTGGTTACAGCCTGAAACGCGCGTAATTCCGCCTGCCTTCTCTTTTATTCTTTTTTACGTTCCTTCCTTTTGACAAACCTTCTTTGAAGTCTTCTCTTACCAAACGAGGTCGTTCTTTTGCTTTTTTTTACTGCCTATTCTTCGCTTTCCATCCGCGTGTATCACAGCGAACATTGTTTTTGCAAGACTTTTCAAACATAACACATTAAATTGTGGTTCTACGCATTATGTATTTAATGACTTGTCTTCGTAAAGCAGCTGAGCATGCTTTTAGTTTGACAAATAAACTAAGTAAGTAAGTAGCAAAAGAAACAATGTATATCAAAATAGAATAGAAGCATTTTAATACTTACCAAGTTTTGTTACCAACAAAATTATCGACTTTTTAATTTATTAATCAGAAACAATATTTTGCTATCTGTAAAATGCATAACCGTCGCATAAACGTCCTATAGATGTCGTTCAACGATCTATTTTCTAATTACTTGCTGCTCTTTTGCACTTAATCCATCACAAACGAGAAAATAAAAGAAGAGGAGTCAGTACTGTCATCTTCACGCCGGCAATTTTTTTCTACGGGCAATTAATTTCGTAGTACGCGGAAAGTGTCATATATCAAAGTTCCGCCGTTCCGTCTACATCAATCACCGTGCATAGTTGATAATGGGTACCGCGCGACATAGTCTTTTGAAAATTTCCAATTGCGGTCAAGAAAAGTCCAGGTAGTCGACGGATAACGGAAGTGAAAGGAGGGATCGGTATATATGCGGTGCGGAATTTTATTCGCGCTACCCCGTTCTATCGGTCGAAAGAATATTTCCTCGCCTTAACCTCTCGTTAAAACGACTGCAGCCTCCAGGGCCATGTCGCACGTTCCAGTATTCCTAATTTTGTCCGTCGGGCGCTACTGGAATCTTAATTATGAGAAAGAATTCGTCGAGGGTGGTCCGGCAACCCGGTCCCAATTCGCCCGACAATGTCGCCAATACTTTTCTAGAGGATATGAGCGTTTCAAAATTCAATTGCGCATGAAACAAATTGAGGTCTCATACGAGTACTGTAATATTGCGATAATGAAGACATAGAGGAAAATGAGAGAATTCTAGAGAAAATAGATATTATTATATACACATGTATGTTATTTCAATAGAAAAAAAACATAATTAAGATATATAATTAAAATAATTACTTAAACTTTAACAATTATTTTATGTGGGTTAAGTCAGGTATGTCATACTGACACATTGATCTCTTTAACGTTTAAAATTGTTACTAATTTATTAAAATTTTAATAAACATAATTTTCTTATAATTTTGAATATTTTATTTGTAGTTTTTATTTAGTGAGAGACCCGTTGTCTTGAAGTACTTTTAGATTTAGATATTTTTAGGTACTTTATCACCTAGTTCACGCCGGGTTAAAATATTTAAAGATTGTTACTAATAAAAAAAATCTCAGATATGATTTAAAATAAAAGCTCTTAATTAAATAATTCTTAATAAAAAACGAGTGTTGAATTTAACGAAATGTCTATCCTAAAATTCTTGATTAATTAAATTTTAATTTTGCACACACCATTTATATTTATAGCTTATCTTATCAAATATAATATTTATGTTACAGAGATTGCAGAGTTGTCAGAGATCCCCAAACTTTAAAATCTAAGGGATATGGATTTGTTTCGTTCGTCAAAAAAGCGGTAAGTGAACGATACTCTTAATCTAATTTACTTAGAAAACAGAAAATTTATCATTATCGTAGCTAAGATAATAAATTGATTCTACTGTACGAGCCTTAGCTACGATATTCAAATTTTGCACAGAACACTATCACCTTTATATAATTTCGTACTAGATTACCCACATATAAAATTATTAGTTATTAATAAATTATTTTTAAGAAATATAAAATTGTAATTTATTAGACACATATAATTTTTAAACACAAAATTTTGCAATTTTGTTATTCATTCTGTCTTTATAGCATGAAAAACGTTTGGTTTAGTAGAAGAAATTTCTTTCTATTTAAAAAGTTTAATAAGATAAGTCCGAATATGTATTATATCAATCGATATATCTTAACTACTAAAAATGTACTTATTCCAAATTAACTTTTTGCTTCAATTACTTTGCATCTTTAAGAAAACTTTATACATCACGCTTTCTTGTAACGTTCTCTTTTATCAAAATGCGATCACTCTCAAGAAAGTCTAAAGGACAATCATTTTAAAGAAAGTTGCAAAACATATAAAGCGCATCGATTAAAATAACAATGTTCGTAATTCTATTCCTAAAGAATTATAGTAAAAAATGAAATAACAAATTATTCGGGCACTTAGGTAAGCAAAGAAGATGAAAGATGTATTGTAAATCAGAATTACGATAGTAATGACATGGTAGATAATTTCCTTCCGAGCAGTATTTTAATTATTGCATTTTTAATTATCACAATCCGATTGTCTCTAGAGTCGAAAAGAACGTGAGTATTCCACAAGGTAATAACTACGAAATCACATCCGCAGTATGTCAAACTTGACGCCGTTCTCTCGGCTTTCGTTGATCAAATAAAGGGGAAGGTCCGACTGTCACAGTTTACAACATCATTTTTCGGGGCTAAATGGAGAGTGGCCCGAGTTTTAGTGTGACCCGCCAAAATCTGTGACGTAAATCACGGCGAAGTTAGATGTACGGCTGAGTAAAAGAAGGCTTTCCTCCGTTTATGGCGGGGTTATTCGTCGAGGCGCCTGCCCCGAAGGTAGACCCTCTCTTCGTTTCCCCTCTGTTTTAATGTCCTATCGATCTGGACCACCGCCGGCACCTGCCTCACACCCGCGGTATTACTATTGCCGAAGTATAAATTTCCCGAGTGTCTCCGTTAACCTCGAGAAACACGCGAAAATTTCTCCCCTTTCCTACCCACCGCTACCCCCACCGACCAGTCTCACCGCCACTATATCCTTCGACCGCCGGATACACGTACCTAAATCGCGAACTCTGATCGCCTAGCCTAGCATCTAACATCCTGGCTCTTTTAAGATGAAATACGAATTCTCGGGATTCTTGTTTTTCTTCAGAGACGAATTCGAAATCTCGAATACTGCATTTAATAAGCTTTATAATGTCCCGCCGTACGGTCCTAATATGATTAGTATTCATAGTCGTCGTATTAATATTCAGTTCGTCAATTTCAAGATCATCTTAAAATTCTAATACGACTGTGTGATTGGTTTATGACATCTTAAGATGATTTTAAATAAGACTCTATATATGAATGCCAGGCTTTATGTTTCGTAATTGTTATATATTATAATATTCATCTCTCACAGGTGCGATGTTTAGAAATGGCAACAGTTTTCTTTGACACGTGTGTTACGCGAATGTTACTAATTACTTGAATCTTAATAAGTAAATATTCATTCTCTTTGTGTTAAAAATTGATTTATATCTGAATATCAACAAAATAAGAATAATCAGGATTTGTAATTTTGAAAAGAAAAAATATGTAAAACATTTCCAAGAGCGAATATGGTACAATGTCTATGCGTAGATGGATCCGTCATGTAGTCCAAGCTCTGTCCCTGTTACTAGTTGATAGTCAATGTATACTTACACACACTACGTAAGTGCTCGGGTCGTTCTAGTTACTGTCAAGTTTTATTACTCTACCATTTGATCGATAAATCGTACGATATTATGACTCACGACCTTAAATACACAAAAGCGTGCCTTCATTCGCATAGATTTGTATTCTCTCAAGTATGTAAACGAAGCAATTAGAACGTCATTTACGGTGCATTGGAAAACGGTACCTTCGTATGTATTAACGTTATTTACAGCTACAGTCAAAATATCGAATATAACAGCCACGTTGACACGTGGCATTGAATATACGCACAGCCATGTAAATAAATAGTCTTTATTTTCTGACGCAATAGGAATATCGTATGTAGCGAGTCGCAGAATTTTTAAAACAACAGGTCATATTTTTATTTAGTCATGGAGTCATACAGTTTTTATTAAAAATAGAAATGTTACTTAAGTTTTCTGAATTGTATGAACAAATTAAATAAATAATTTGAAAAACGTTTGAAAGAAATACTTTTTGGAATTTTGCCTTGAAATTTTATTATTTTAACGAACACAAAATTTCAATCATATTACATGTGAATAATTATATATACATATATAATAATATATATTTTATATGTATATAT